GCTGGAGCCTGGAGCCTCCCCTCTCATGCCCTTTCATCTCATGCCCTCCCGCCTGGTGCCTAAAAGTTTGCGTCTGGTTCGTTCTGTCTTCCTCTTACTTTGGTATTTTTGAACTGAATAGTTACTCAACCATGCGAATGAATAAAATACTTAATAAAATATCTGTCAGTAAGATAAATGCAGACTTTCATGCTAATGAATAAAAATATGTCCGTCTATAAGATAAATACAGACGTTAGATAGACTAAAGATCCATTTTGTGATCGTTATTATATTGTATTCCAGCAATCCGGTAAAAAGATTGTTTTAAATGTCTATGTCTATGTCTTTCAATAGATGTTTTAACAATTCTGATACAATTCCAGACATAACAATAAATATCAAAGCAAATCACTTAAAAAAGTAGTCACATTTGGAAATCAAATGCATAAAGGCATTAAAAAAGCAAATTCCACAGTTTTAAAATTGTAGACAACAAATAAAGGGAGTTTCTCACAAACCTATAGATAGATAGATAGATAGATATTCATTCTATGTTTATACAAAAACAGATCGTGGGAAGCGACCCTCCGCCTGCGTAGTCGCCTGGCCCGGCGGGGTCGCTCAGCACAGACACCGAGACAAGCGCTCCGCGAGTAAACGGAAGGCGGTCAATAGATAGTAACCACGGCAACGGCTTCTATACTACATAAGTAGCGTTAGTTGATAGACTATTTTGAAAATCCTACCTTGTAATCCTAGATGCCTGACGATTTTATGCAACAATCAGAGCCGAATGTTTTCATTAAAAACATTTTCCTCCTATGAAGCACACAGTTAAAATACATTGTGCTTGAGTTTGTATCAAATCATCATATCAGGGCGTGATGATTAGGGCTTACAGCTCATAGAATCAAAACTCTAGTATCCCAAAATTTATTAGAATTTCAGAATAAATTATTTATTATGCAGAAATGTCTACCTGGGAAGAGCTCTTATCAGCTAATTAACTTACAACACCTGTAAAAGTTTCTTAAGCCTTTAATCTCTGTCTGTTTCTGGTGCTCACAATTAACTTTACCCCCATATTCTAATTTTTTTTTTAGATTTGAGATGCTCCTCTGTAACAAAAGTAATAATAGGCTAATTTAATGAATATCACTGTCCAATCACATCACATGTCTGAATCTCATAAATATCAACCATCAGGTTAAGGTTAACCGTAACCCTTTTTGACTTTTATTGCACACATGAGACTAAAGTTATTAGTATCAGCGAGTTATGGTGGCGTTTCGGCCTCAGTCTAAAAGTGCTGCTATAAGTTTTACACGCCACTAGATGCCACTGTGTTTGCTTAGCTTGAAGCCCCAGAGCTTCATAATGCTTCATCCACCCATCACTTTGAGATTTCGTTGAAATGTAAAGTGCATTATAAATAAAATTTATTATTTTTACTATTATTATCATTACTTGCTAGTGAATGTTGCTGATTTGACGTGTTTGAGGGACTATTTTGTCACACAGATGAGTCAGCTAGGGAAGAGGAAGGACAGGCATCACAGCAAGCTGGATTAACTGCAAATTGGTGATTCAGGGACTCCAGAAGAAATTAAATGTGAAAGCATAAAGGAGCTGAAATTCGTAAAGTAAATTAGGAATGCAAAGTAGTCTTTTAAGCTGATGAGGAGACGTTTTGCTTTGGATTTTAATGTGCAAATGAAATGCTTAGTAATATTCCAAAAAATATATATTATTAAAAATATTATTAGAATATTCGATAATTGTTTTATAACCACACTGCAGCCCTCTGAATCATAATCAAATGGAATTGTGAGGTGCTTAGAGATTCCTTAGAGTAACATCAGATAAGTTTTGTCTCTTTTTAGTTGCCAGAAGTGAAAATGAGTGATCCTCAACCTTTTTTGAGCTGGAGAACAATTAAATCAAAAATAGATTGTAGGCTCTACAGGACGATTATTTTCTAAAGCAACATACATCTTTTTCCCAGATAGTGTGTAGATTTTTAGGCATTCTATCATCTAAAACAGCATGAAAAATAGCGCATTTAGCCAGCTTAATGGGAAAAAATCTCCCCGGGGTGCAGGCCCCCGGACCCCCCTATATTTGGGGTAAGCCCCGAATGTTTATAACATCTGGCTCCACCTCTGACCAATGCTATTACTGCAGGTACCCTGAAGTGTACCTTTTGCCAGAGCTCATGTAGATGGAAATCATTTTTCTGTTGTAACACAATCAAATTACCTTTTTAAACATGTTGAATTCACTTGTATTCAAAATGATCAACACACTATAAGACCTTTGGTTTCAAGGTTTTTAGTTTAAATTGTAAATATCACTTTAATAAACATTCTTGGACAAAACAGATTACATGCGTAGATATCTGCATAATTAGAAAACAGTTTAAGTCAGTCACAATAATTCAGCCACCCTGTCTTTTAGAAATTGTTAAAGCCATATCTTTATATGAATGAGTGATACATTATTGCACATTCAGAACACTTTAGCTCATCTGGCTTAAATTCAACTAATTTCACTCACCGCTTTACAGTCTTCTTTGTGGCCCATTCACTGGACTGTCAATTTCGCACTGACGGGGTGTTTCTGGTGTTTTGTTTTGTGGAGAGAATCTGCACTCAGCAAAGTACTACTGACACATAGCTGCTTATTATTTTTGTATTTACATGTACTCAGTTACAAAGTTACTAACATTTTGATATGTAAAAACAACTGCTTACAAAAACTAAAATTTCTCAAACTTAAATAATGTAACAGTAAAGTGGGTATTCTCCACTATTTCATAACACAAAGTAAAAAGAAAGTTGACTCATTAGTTCTATCTTTCTGGAATAAGAAAGCAGAATATAGGGAGAAGGTGGGTACATTAGTGTAAATAAGTCTGTAATTTGGGACAGAGATTGAAGTGAATCTGTGACTAAACATTTCGTAGGTTTTTACTGACTGCAGGTCAGGGAAATTCTAAAGTGAACTCCATGTGGGTGTGGTGGTGTCACACTACAACTCAACAGCACAGGATTATAGTGTACGTTATCATCAACATCTTTACTGTTTCGTCTAAAAAGCCTACCTAGTACCTGCAGAGTGCTCACAGTGGATGATTAGTCAGTGACGGGAAAAAATGAAGATCGTCCTGCTGACTCTTGAGTTGTCATTTTGTGGATCTCTTTGTGGATTTTGCGTAAATCCTATTAAAACATACAGTCAGATGTAAAGCAAGCATCTATTAGAACTGTGTGAGGGTGAGAGCTTTTGCATTTTTGCAAGTGATACTACAAAGAAAAGAGCACTTCCCGCTTCTGAACATGTAACCGCATGGTATTTATTTATAAACCATGTGCACAAGCCTTTGCATTGCCAAAGTTTGTTAGAGGAAAGTAAAAGTAACACCTAGGCATGATAAACGTGAGTCTAAGGTTGTCAACACAACAAGAAAGGAAAAGGATGTGTAGGCCACAATATTTTCCATTCTCAGCTTCTGCTTCAGACACAGTGAAAGAACATGGTATATGTTTTAATTGCTAAGAAAGACTAAAAGATCAAAGAGAGAGAGACAGAGAGAGATGGTCTTTGGTAAACTGAAAGTAGCAACACGGTGAAGACTAAACAAGCATTAGTCATTTCAGACAGGATTTAATGCTCAATTCTTTTCTCAAATATTTATATTTAGGTATGCCAAGAGATCCTTTCATCACTAACAGAGGCCACATGGCCAGACTCAGTTTGGGATAAACTTATTTTACCTCTGGTGTAAACATTAAAAACTAAATTGTTGAAGTACATACAGTATAAGTCTGCAAAACTGGAGTTAGAATTTTGCTGCAACACTGTGGACCTAGGCAACATGAAACAATATGAGTGTTGAAATTAATCCTTAATGCATGTGGTAGTTATTAGGTTAGAAACTGGAAAAGTCTACTTTTTAGCATTCAAGTTCCCAAACCTCAGTTGGTGCAGAGTTCACAGGTAGCCTATGTGGAATGTCAAAAGTTGTTCTGGACTTGAGTGAGTGGACTGTAGCATAACGTGGCAGTTAGTGTGGAAACAGTGATATTTAAAATAAAGTATGAAAACTATTGGCTTCATCTTGTGGTCAAAAATGATCCCTACACTGTACTCACTAACCAACTACTAAATACAAACTGGTCCAAAGTTAAAGACTCTTATTTTTATAATTATGGTAGAAACCTAAAACTGTGTTAACATTTTTCTTTTTTCTTGAGGTAACACAACCATACTTTGAATTTTTTCTGCAAAGGTTTTATGCCGGTGTGGAAAAATGCTATAAACTAAGAATGCTTTGAAAAACAGACATTTAATAGATTTTATTTATTTATCATAGCAGGCAGGTTGGCCCAAACATGTTGGAGAACTACACGTGGTTCTTATGACGATTTAAGGAGCCTCAGTTGCTTCTCTCTCTTCAGACAGATCCGTGTGAGTGCAAATGTGAACCACGCGCATGATATAGTGGAGCCATTTACTCTGCAGCATGACAACAACCCCAAACATGCAGCAAAAGTCATTAAGAACTATCTTCAGTGTAAAGAAGAAAAAGGAGTCCTTTTATGGCCCCCACAGAGCCACAGAGCACCACAGAGTCACTGAAGAGGAAATGCAGAAAACAGAGTACTTTTATATCTTCATGATTTTTGGGATAATCAACATCACTGCGTCTTTATGGCCGCATTTCACTGACAGACATTGCGAGAGGAAACGACATTGGCATGAGCGCAAATGTGATCCACTTGCAGAATGTAGTGGAACCGTGCAGCCATAAAGACGCAGTGATGTTGATTATCCCAAAAATCATGAAGATATAAAAGTACTCTGTTTTCTGTAAAAACATTCTCTAGTGCAATATAGATAGTAACAACTATCTCAATCACTCACAAAAAAATATTAGCAATTACTTTTTCTCCTGGGTTACCTAAAAAGTCTTCAACCTTAAATTTAGGGCTTAGGTTAGGGTGGCCACTTGATTAATGTTTAAATCATATCAGTGTTTATTTACAATGGTACACAATTACATTAAAATTACAAAGGTGACTGAAAATAAAATAAAAGTATACAAAAAGCACTGTTACGTCCATGAATGAATGATGTATGAAAAACAAATTTAACATGTTTTTTTAACAGTAACTCAGATATTAAGTAGAAATCGGAAGTACTTTAGTCCATAGTAGATGTTGACAAATTTAACTTCCTGCACAGAGAGAAAATATGTACATCACCTGCAATGGGTATTTTTCAAGACCACTGAAAATACTGAACAATATGAACCAAAACTTTGTTGTTACCATGTCTGCAAGTGAAAGTTACTTTTATTTATTTTTTAAAGACTCAAAGTCAATGATCCCATGTTTTTTTTTGGTAGGCAATGTTAAGGTTAGGTCATAGGGCATTTTGATCCAAGTTGGGTCTGCTTTTCCTTGTATGCTTCATCACTCTAACATCTGAATAGACAATTTCATCTTCAGCGTTATCTGAAAGGAGTCAAACAGAAATGCAGATAATACATCATACTGAACTGCGTCAAAGGGCCTTAATGTCGTGTGGTTAAGCTTTTGAGTCTTGTCAAATCAGTCCATGTTTTCAATTGCCGTACCACAGAATATTAACATAACTTAAACAACAAAAAACACATTATTTTTCTCATATTGTCCATTGCTTCAGCACCTCTTGTCACCATCTGTCTGAACACTCAGTTTTAGCTCCTTTCTCTTTAAGCACCCCCTCCCCGTAAGCCTACTTGCTTCTGATTTGCCAACTTCTCCAAGTACAGCAGAAGGGCAGGACAAGGCCTACTATGTGGGGCCAGGCCTCACTGATTAATGATGGCTATTTAATGATGGGGTGGCGAAGGAGCAGCGGATGAGACACATAACTTTGGCATGGGAGATCCGTGTTCAATTCAACTGCAGCATATCCACCAACGTGTCTTTGCAAGACACTTAACACCTAGGTGCTCCGGAGGCATGCATATATATATATGATTAGTCATTTAGCTGGTGCTTTTATCCAAAGCGACTTGCAATCGCTATATATATATATATATATATAAATAATGTGTGCGTGTGTGTCTGTGTATATGTGTGTGTGTGTGTGTGTGTGTATATATATATATATATATATATATATATATATACACACACACATTCTACAGCACCTTTAAATAATCCAAATAGACACAATTTTCATTTTAATGGATTCAAGCAAGTCTTTCCATATTGATTTTAATGATGCACAAAACTAAATGTAGGTACCTCAAATGCAGAAAGAAGCTTTCAGATATCTCTAAAACCACAATAGCTTAGGCTTTATAAAATTATTTTCAGGAATGTCAAGTAATTACATTTTACATATTCATTTGGATAAATATCAGTACAGTCCTCAGTGAGATAGAGCATAGATGAAGACATGGGAAGTGGGAGAACATATTTCTCTTACCTTCAGTAATAGTCATGGGTCTTGTTTTCTTATTAAAATATTTGATACCAAGAAACAGAGCCAGAAGGAGCAGTAGAGTTGCAGCACTTGCAATCACAGCCATAGTCACATGGCAGGAGTGAGAAATGAAACCTAGAAAACACAAGATATTGAGATTAGATGCAAGACAAATATCAAAGGTGCTTTAAATAGTTTGCAGCTTCCATTTTCACAATCTAAACTAACTGTTATGAACTCACACATGTATTTTGCCGCTGTGTAATGTAGTGAACAACGGTGTGGATTTGTGCATTTTACATTGAATAAATTTGGAGCTACCCTAAATTCCTTTCTCCTCCCCAGAGAAGAAGGGGAGGGGTCAAAGTTGCTTTCTCTAAGTGCTATCCAGACCATAAAACTGGCACCTTTTTGATTCCGAAGCTGATAACGCGGGGCCTGACTGTTAAACTGACAAAGGGACATGAACCAGCCATTGGCATCTCCCTGAACAGCCTATCAAAACTGGCCCCCCACACATGTTTCTGTGGCAACTGACCTTATTCTTTGTTTTATTACCACATCAAAAAGGAAAACCCCTGTCTCACCCAAGTGTGACATGGTCCAGACACCGAACTTTGAATGGCTAAGGACTGCAGTCTCCAAAGATTCAAAGCATTTAATTAAATCTTTAGTTACCTGATTACGTTTGCCTCTATTTGAGTAGTTATGTTAACTGTTGTTGCTATCTGTTGTTGATATTAGTGCTGAAAAGAAAGTTTCTTGTGCAGTGTTTTTATTTTCAGCAAGACACTCCTTCATCTAATGTAATCAATGCTTGTTCATAATACTTTCCTACAAAATTCCTTTAGAAATGATGACAAAGAAATGTTTTACTATACTCTTAATCGCCAGCTTGAATTTAAGGATGAATAAACAACATTCCCAGTTCCTAAGGAGAGACGATCTTTGATTTAATCCAAGCTTTCCTCATGTAACCTGAGCTCCCCCAAGTGGACGAAATAAGTATTACATGCCCTCGTCGGAAATGCGGTTAAATGTGTAAAAATACTGACCAATAATGTGACAATTGTTTCCTGTTACCAAATGCTTAGAACAGTACAACCGTTCAACCATTGAGGTTCGATTGTGGAAAATATTTGATTATAATACGCGCAAATAGATTTCTTTTCTTTAGACATTAAGTTTAGAAAGGCAGTCCCTGGGAAACCTGAGACGCCCCCTGGGGAACCACGCCCCAGGCAACAAAAGAGCGACACGCGACCTCGCTTCGCTCTCTCTTCTCTTCGCTGTTGGCTCTTCCACTCTGCTCGGCCCTCTGTGCCGCGCCAGGCAACGCCCAGACTCGGCCAGCGAAAGAGGCTTTTTGTTTGCCTGAAGCTACACACCTGAAGTGCCGCGACATCGATCTGCCCTTCAGTTTGTTTTTATTTTCTTTATTTCTTTTGTTTGTTAAAGTTATCAGTCCGTTAAGTTACACTGGACTAATTCAGGAACGACCAAGTTCCCTTTTTAAGCTTTTTCGTCGAGCCAACTTCACCGAGGTCAGACCAAGCCACGTGGTCTCGCCAGCTACAACGAAGGAAACCTGAAAACAGCCGAATCGCCAGACGGAGGAGGCGTTTTCAATCAGACACGGAGAACCCTGGAGAATCCCTAGCAAAAAGCCAGGATCGGCAGCTAGCGTGGGACCCGTGCAACAGGCCAAAAGCAGGCTGTCGACAAGCAGTAAGACTTAACACACGTCCTGTGATCAGATGTCCATTTTAACTCCTAAATTATAGCATTAGTTTACTTTCATTAGCTCTTCTATGCCGTATGAGTCAAATGCTTTCCACAATCGAACCTCCAGGCTCATTGTTCAGCAAATGTTTATGTTCCCTGTATCCAACCATCTTTTTATCACCTTAGTTAGAGAATAAATTCACTGTAATTTAATCAAGAGCTGTGTGTGTTGCCTATTTCTAGTTCCTGCCAAGAGAATTGACCCTTTAGATATGAGACTGACTGACTGATTTAAGATAATTGAACGATTATTAACTAACTGATCACTAGTAATAATTGTACAATTATTCAAAACTACCTAGAGGTCCGGAGACTCTAGGATTATAACAACTCCGGTGGTGCCCTAAACGAGGAAAATTTTGATTTTATGAATCTTCAATTATGAATTCATAATTGGGTATCAATTCTCATAAATTTATTAAAATGCATAACTAAAAATGTTTAGGTCTGCTACAGTAAACATAGCAACAAGGGAATCAATACAGTGTCTGATTTTACAGGTATCTAAGTTTATTATCAGAAAATGGAACAATGAGAGAAATGGTATTGGAGCACCTACAATGTGTGATTATCTAGTCTGGGGCATTAAGCAGTGTTTATGATACAATTGTCAAAACTTGCTATATCAGTCGTGTCTATTTAGTTGCATGATGAGATTATACTAGGTGGTTAGCAGCAGCCTGTGGTTTACAGACCGGTAGGATCGTAAGTATTGGGGAGCTGCAGCTCAAAATACAGAATGCTGATGTTGCTCGGTGGCAGCTGCAGCAGCAACCTCTCAATGTCTGAAAGCACCTTTTAGATCTATTCACCTATATGCGATTATAGAATCATGAATCCAGATCTGTATTTGTGAGAGACATTAGAATCAAGCCTATCTGAAAGCCTGACTAAATAATCAAAAACATGGAAAAGCCAACTGGTAGCTGAATCAACTTAAGAAACAAAGAAAATCAAAGAATAAACAAACTGGTTGATCATCCCTTGAAATACAGTACCTTTGCAGCTTGTCAGCTGGAGAACAGTTTTATTTCTGCTGACACTATTTCTAACTTGACACATCAAGTTTCCAGTAAGCTGACCGTATAAGTTCATGCTAACATTTGAACCACTGAATTTGTCTTGTTTAGCTGCATCCCCAGCCGGTGATTGTGAGACTGCAGTCCAGTTTGTCTGGCAGTGGGATCTGGTCTGTATCAGTGAATAACCGTCCAAAGTGAAAATTAACTCTACTCCATCTCCTTCAGAGGAGCAGTTGATGATCATCTGTTCTGATGACAGACACATCTGAGAAACAACTGGCTTTGACACTGGAGCTGAAAGACAAACATATATGAACAAGTACAATATTAAACAGTGTATAATGCAAAGTAAATTTCACTGCTAAGTCTGGAAACTGGAGCCAATGGCTATTGCAATATCTCTTTAATTTAGAGGAAAACCTTTAAGACTTAGGACATTACATACTTTGAAGTAGGGCTGCAGCTAACGATGAATTTAGTATTCGATGCTTCTATAGATTATTTCAACGATTCATCGATGTGTCGTTTAAGAAGTACTTTTGCTTGGCGGCGGCGAACTCACTATTGTTTAGTGCAAGTGTAGGTATATGTCAATTGACATGAATTCATAAAAAATATGCACAAATATATTACAATATAACTATTGCATAAAAACATAAAAAAATGTAAAGAAAGTAATATATATTGAAATTAGTGGTGGGCCATTATCGGCGTTAACGTGCTGCGTTAACGTGAGACTGTTATTGGGCGATAAAAAAAATATCGCCGTAAATCTATTCTCAAAGTTGGGTTGGGTCTATAGGGGAGAGCCGGGACGATTGAAACGCGGGACGATTGAAAAGCGGGACGAATGAAACACAGCGATTTTCTTGGAGCCCATACAAGTCTGATATGCCAAACTACCTCACCTTAACAGAACAGGGAAAAATCAGGTGGATACGTCACACTTTCACAGAGTTATATGACAGAAGCTGTTTTCAGTCACAGAAAGTAAAGTCAGTCAAGCAGTCTTTTGCACCATGGTCGTGATCACATAAAAGATTAGTTAGTGCCAAAGTTTTACAGTTTAGAAGCTATTGAAGTTTAAACCTCAAGAGTCACTGTCCCGAAACGCAGCCATTCTACCTTATTTAGATACGGCGGGAGGGGGGCTGAGTCCATAGGTTGCAGGCTGGACCACCAGGATGCTCACAGCCAAGTAACAGGATCTTCACAGTAGACCAGGAAAACAGGCTGCAGATGTAGGCCTACTACGCAAGCTATGATGACTTTCACCTTGATATTTTAGCGCAGATGTATACCTAGCCAAATTGCACTGTAGGGAGCGAGAACGAGTCTTCGAACCTGTGTGTATGCCTACTGTGAAATTACCACATCAAACGTGACGTGCTAACATGGATGCAGCTATGAAGCCGCCGGGTTTGCTTCAAGGAAAATTTATTTTTAAGAAGCTTCCCAATAGTTTTCTCAAGCAGTGTGTGATGCATTTTGGAAACAGGAGATGAGCCCCTGGTCTAATGCGCCACCTGGCTTGATAAACCCGTTCTCAAAGACTTACTTTTAGTCATTATTTGGGTAGCACACATATTCTGATTGCCTTCGGTAGAATTCAAATGAGCCATTTTAATCTAGATTAATCTAGATTAATTCCAAGATTACAGTGAGATTAATCTAGATTTAAAAAATTAATCTATGCCCACCACTAATTAATCATTCAATCAACACCATTATATGTATATATATATAGATGTTTTTTTGTTTTGTTTCTGTTTTGTTTTTTAGAATTGACTTTAAAATTCTATTGATCACTTTTAAAGCTCTTCATGGCCTCTCGCCTTGTTATATTTCTGAACTTTTAGTCCCATACACACCAGCACGCACCTTGAAATCCTCGGGCAGAGGTCTGCTGTCTGTTCCAGAGTCTCGACTGAAAACTAAAGGGGACAGAGCGTTTGCTGTCAGGGCCCCGAGGCTCTGGAACAGCCTGCCCGAGGAAATCAGGTTGGCTGAGTCAGTGAACTCTTTTAAGTCCCTTCTTAAAACATACTTTTATAGGAGAGCCTTTCAAGATCTTATTTGACTTTATTTTATCCCTTTTATTTTATTGTATTTTACTAATTTTATATTTATCTTAAATGTGTATTTTAGTCTTTTCAATGTTTTCATGCTTTTATCTTGTATTGTTTTTGTATTATTGTCTCTTGGGTATTATTGTCATTACACTTGTTAAAGCACTTTGTAACTTGTTTTTGAAAAGTGCTCTACAAATAAAGATTATTATATTATTATAGATGTTACTTATTAGTATAAAATTACAAATGCCATTATATTTGTAAATTTTAATCCACTTGATGCAATATGCAATTTTTAAAATATTAGCTATTAGCAAAAGATAAGCTATATGTTTAGAATAACTAAAAGTTACAGATTTTGTAATCATAATCCTGATTTTAAAATGTATGCTGGCAAACCTCAACACAAACTGCATTTGAGACGGACACAACATTCTTTTATAATTTAAACAAATAAGGCCCCTTAATTAAAAATGTATATAGGTGTGTAAAAAAAACATTTTAACTATTAAACACATTTCTTTAATCTATCTTTTGTATTGAACATGCCTTTTATTTATATATATATATATATATATATATATATATATATATATATATATATATATATATATATATATATATATATATATATATATATATATATATATATATATAATTTGTGTTTGTTTGTTTGTCTATATATATATATTTATTTTGTAATTTGGAAAATATTTGGTCTTACCTTGTATTTCTAGAGACATGTTGATTTTGTGCAATAACACACCATCAGTAGCTCTATATGTTTCCAACTGGTAATGTCCAGAGTCTTGTTTTGTTGCCTTCTCAAGCTTAAAAGTTCCATTTGAGAAGAATGCAGAGCGATGGTATTCCTTATCTATAGATGCTACTGCATTATTGAGTATTTTAAAAATTCTTTTTTTGTGGTTCTTTGTCAACATCAATTTTTTATTTTCGCCGTTGGGCAGGTAAAAGGTCAGCGGCTCAGCAAGTGCTCCAAAACACCGCTGAGCTCCAGTAGGTTCAGATAAATTGCATTTCAAAGCCCCTGATAGGAAAAAAAGACATGAATATTAAAAATATTTATACAAAATAATAGTATTTCTAGTAACTGGTGTGTAATATTTCATTTTTGTATAGCCAAAAAATTCCTGACCATTACCACTTACACGCAATGCAAAAAGTGTTTAAAGCCATACATATATTGTGAAAATATTTTCATTTATTTTAAGTGCAATCAGTGTTATAAATGTATCTATATAATTATTATAATTTGAATGGTAATGGTATTATTATGGTATGGTAACATAATAACTCATAATTTAAAAAAATGTATAACGTAATGTAATAACTAATTTTGAAGGATTTCAAATATTGCATCATTAAATCTTCATCAACACACCAGTTCTGTTAAATGTTAACTTACCATTTGCCAGAGCTGTAGTTGTCAGACCTGCGATGATAATGTAGATGGACATCATTTCCTGCAAGATATATATATGGGGTTTTAGAAATGATAAGAAAAAATGGCTGAAATACTACACTTTTTCTGCATACTTAATATCAACATTATTGGATTCAAAATTACTCACCGCCTTTACAATAGGATATTGTCTTTGTGATTTGACGACTGGTCTGGGAATTTTCCACTGCCAGCAAGCTGGTATTTTTCTGGTCTTCGTGTCTTGTGTGAAAAGAATTGAGGAAGCGGTTATTTGAAGTCAGTTACTGTAAGTAGAACTAAGGCAATGAAGTATTCTCTGCTGCCTTTAGTTCACGTTTCAAAATGATAATGCCCTGTGTTACGGCCCCTCCCCTTCCTGCTTCCTTCTCCTGCAGGAGGTTGCAGGCCAGGAAGCTGATTGGGCAGGGCAATCACCTGTGAAGCTTTACCTTCAGAGCTTATTTAGCCAGGACGGATCAGTCTTTTGTTCTCTCTCTCCTCCTAGGCCGGCATCTGACTGGGTTTGTTTTGTGTGTTTCTTTTATGTTTATCCTGACAGCACACACACACTTCTCACTCATCCATTCACTGCTGGCACAAGTGATGGTCATACTTTGACATGAACACCAGTATCTCACCTCCTTTTTGTCTCGGGCAAAGAGCTGGCTTGTGACACCTGTGTGAGCTATTCCTGTCAATATGTGAATGCAGTTTATAATGTATATATGAATTTATTTAAGCAATGTGAATTGTACAGGTCATTACAGGCGATAACTTCTGTGTTGGGTGCTTGTCAGGGACAGTCAGGCAATGAGGAGAACCAAAAAAACTTAACAACAAAATATAACTATACTCAAAAGATATGGATATGAACTGAAAAAACTGACCTACCTGAACGAGACACAAGGGAACATATATAGTGGCTTGGCCAAACCAATTTACACATAAGGGGAAAACAAAATGGACGACGACACAAAGTAAAACAAACTAAACCCAAAATCCCCCTCCAACATGGCAGCCCATGGTACAGCTTGATTGGCATGCCACAGGATATAACAGTCCTCCACCCGTGGCCCTGCCTTTCTTCCACCAGGACAGACCTTTCTCCAACATGGTAACACAAGAAACATGATTAATATATGTTTAAAATGTTTACATAACCTTACAGTGTGAAAGTGTGCTCCATTTGAACAGTGTATTGCTAAAGCAAATCAATGTATATTGTAACTCAAATAAACTGTGTGCTGTATTTTGAAATCATGAATTGTTTGGCGTGTGGCTAACTGCAAAAATAACTTAACCTGTTTAACATGGCTTGTGTGCTGGTAGGCTTGTGTGCGGTATTACCATTGCTGGATGTTGCCCTGTGTGGCTTGGGCCATCACAGTGCCCGACGCACAAGAAAATATTTGGATATTAACCACTTACAAGAAAAGATGCTATACTGTACAGTGGACATGTGACACGCAGTGGGAGACAAATTGAAAATAAATGTGCAGTCTGTGGCTGTTAGTCCTTGCTACTAAGAAGACTAATGAAGGGAAAAGATGGGTGTGTATACAAGTCTAGAGTTTTAAAGGGGTGGTATTATGCTCATTTTCAGGTTCAAAATCTTATGTAGGGGTTGTACCAGAACAGGTTTACATGGTTTAATTTTCAAAAAACACCATATTTCTTTCATACTGCGCATTGCTACAGCTCCTCTTTTCACCCTGTGTGTTGAAGGCTTCGTTTTAGCTACGGAGTGATACATGTTGTCTCTAAATGATCTTTGTTGGGAGTTGCACATTCACAGTTCCTAGTTAAGGACTACTAGCCAATCGGATGCAGAAAAGGGAAGCAAGCGCGGCTTCGGTTCAGCTATACATGTTGCCGTTGCTGACCAGCTTGGCAACATAGACTGGAGCAAGAGTTATTAATCTGTAACAAATGTATCTTTCATCCATAAAGTTTTACCTGAGCTCTGTCTCTACAGTTATAACTTTTTGTCTATTGACTGCCAGGAGGGTAGCTAGTGTTTGGTGCTATGTAGCTACTTGACTAGTAAGTTATCATTGGCTGCAGGCTGGAGGCATTTACCATGTAAATCCATCTAGTTATACTATACTGTGACTTACATTATGTTCATCTAGGAAATAGGCGATTTTTCTTTTTTTTTTTTAAGAAAATCTTTTGTGCAATTAATGTAGTTGTGGTGGTGTCACGCCACAATTTAGCTCAGGGATACTGACTTTAACTTAACATGGTGTTATCACCATATGAACGGCTTTAGTATTCTCAATATGGATAATTAATGAGAGGGGAAGGAAACCTCACCGTGAACAAAAACAGGCTATATACAGACAAAAGAAATGACCGCTCTGCCTACAATTCACATTATACAAAATAAGAATTTGCAAGGTCCATAAAAAACAGTGTCTAAGGAGAGGGCTGTCAGCCATTAAGGACATGCGTGAAATCATTTTACAATTTTTGCATATACGTTTTAAAAGACATAATGTATATATGTTATATGTATGCCATGTTCCAAGCATGGCATACATATTGGCTTTGACCAGAAGATGCATGAGAAGGATGCATCTCACAAAGACATGGGTGCAGCAACTGAAATGGAGGACGGGAATCTCTCTCTCTGTATTTTAATCAGATCTCTGTGTGAGGATGAGAAAACTTTGCATTTCTGCAAAGTGTACTACAAATAATCATTTCCTGCCTCTCAACATGTAATCACATGGTATTTATTTCCAAACCAGGTACATGTACATTATTAACCATAGGTTGTATCACCAAAGTTTGTTAGAGGGCACTAAAAGTAAAGTCATGTCTAAGGTTGTTGACACAACAAGAAAGGAAAAAGGTGTGAATAACAACTTCTCTGTTCTCAATCTCTGCATTAGCCAAAATGACAGACCAGTGTGTATATGTTTAAGTACAAAGAAAGACTAACAGATCAGACATTGAGAGAGACTCACCTTACCTCTAGTGTTAACATTAAAAGACAATTTTCTATCCCAGGGTATTTAGTTTAATATGTATATCAAGGCTCTACAGTGACTATTTCACTTGCATTTGCCCCTAAAAATGTTTACGAGCACAATGTGCAAGTAAAGAATACAACCTATCGTAAGTATGTCTGTTTAAATATATATCCACAAAAGAACTGTGGGTAATTTCACAAGATGTTTGGCCTGTGTTCCTTCATAAACTAGGCGGTTACACGGAATATGTGTGTGTAGGTTTACAATGTACTGTCCAAAGTCCAAGTCCAGTCTTTACAGCACAATCTTCTTGCAAAGCAATGATTTTATTGAAATTAATGGAGGCGATACATATTTTCAAGCAGTGCTGTCTGTCAAAACATGGCCTAATAATTTGACTGGACTACCATGAGTGGATTTGAGTAGAGTCTGAAATGATGGATAGTTGGGATGGAAACAGTGCTGTGCATCAATGCAGTATTTAAAGTAAGCAGACATACTAAACTAAACAAAAACCAAGTTGTATATTTACAGATTGAATAAAGATGTATGAGTCCGTTTCATGTCCAGCACCTAGTTACATGTGAGGACTTTTGGCTCCATCTTGTGTTTATAAATGATCATTAAATTGTTTAAAGCTTGTCAAGCTCCCTGTTAGTAACTGGAAGAACAGTTTGCATCCACTAGAGGTCACCGATGACCTGCACTTTATGTTCAGTAACTTTCCAAAAAACAATAAAGTCGGGTCCTATGCAAAGCAAAGGACTCTCCACTTGCTTTAAGTAGTTGCATGGAAACTGAAAGTAAAAACTAAAACGCATTAGAGAGTAACTTTATAAAAGTAAAATCAAAAACACACAAAAATAAGGAGCCCCCCCAATGCCCACTAAGTCAAATCTCAAAAATAAATTCTAATTACCTCGTGGCTTCTCTCAGGGCCTCAAGATAAGTGTATATGAAAGGAGCCTGCACAATGGAGCAGCTTTTCTCTCCAAAGCAGAGAGTGCACAGTGCCTGCTCCAGCTACCACCTACTTAAAGCACTCCTTGGATGATACTATGGATAGACACTATTTGATTAACCTTTATCTTTACTTCCGGGTGAGTTATGCTACGGCAATGGCAGCACAGACAAGGTGATCGCAGCACCCTCTGTGGCGCTGCCAAAAGTTAATCAAATAGGCTAGTCAGTTATTTTTGATTATTATTTTTAATAAATTTGCAAAGATTTCAAACAAACTTCTTTCACATAGTCATATTATTTAAATGTGTTGTTTGTTTGTTTCCAGCCTACAGTTTACTGATTAATTTTAAAATGTAGGAAACTTGTCAGATCTGTAGCCTAATGAAATTAAGCAATTGTAAAATTAATAAACGCCATCACTCCCACACTACTGCTCCCACACAGCTGGGGATTTTGTTTTCCCTTTGATGTGAACTGGAGTATTAGGTTCACTGTTGTCAGCAGAGGTCAGGTGACTGAAAAAAAACCCTCAATAATCAAATCTCAAAATTGAAAATCGAATATGTACCCAGAGATTGAATATTTGGGTCCAGCCCTAGTAGATATGTTGCTCAGGGCCCGGCTCTGGGCTCTTGTGTGGATCAGTGAATGACTGAACTCCGTCTACCTTCAGAGAGGTTCTGGTAACAAACACAGCTGGCTTTGACACTGAAGCTAGAAGATATACTTTCCCAGAGGAAATCATCAAAATAATCAACATGTTTAATTTGAAATTACAAAAACTCTCACAAGTGTCTATTTAGCATGTGGGAGCAATGGGCGAAACGCGTAGCTCACAATAAATGCAGTAAAGTCAGATCAGTGTGCGGTAGTTTGTTTTTTGACTTTTCATGCTTTTAAACTATTTGTAATTGCAATGATTGTTATACATTTTTTATGTAATAGCATAATTTGCAGTAAATATTTGATAAGGGCTTCAGTCATTGGTAAATAAACAAAGCACTAGCAAATAGTTCATGTAAATGTATGTGTTAAACCTAAAATACTGCATGAATAAATCTGTAGTTGTGTTGGTCAAAACACCAATACTATTAGACCTACTACAGTTACCCTGAAGTGTACTTTTGGCCAGACCTTTTGGCACCAGAGCTGTGACGGTCATGTAGATGGAAATCATTTGTTGTAACACAATCAAATTACTTTATATAACATGTTGGATTTCACTTGAATGCAAAACGATAAACGCATTAAAAGAAATTCAGTTTTATGGGTTTTAGTTTAAATTGAAAATGCACAACGCATCCTCATCTCAGTGCGTCATTACTGACGCTTTCAGACAGCGTGACAAAGTGTAATTATTTTTTGCTAAAGATACCCTTCAGAGTCCGTATGAAACACCACCGTTTGCTACATCGCAGCAACACAAAGGAAGCTAACCCTACCTGCTCACAGACAATGTGCACAGCTGTAGGTCGACATGCATAATGTCAGTGACAGGTTTAGGCACTAACATTTATGATGGGTATGGTAAGGGTGGGGGGCTTCGGGGGGCTGTCAACAACTTTAACATGTATGTAGTACGAGACACCCCAGAGCGTTTCATACAGACACACCCGGAGCGTCTCACACAGATGCTAAACTAACTAATAACTACGCTTTGTCACTTAATGAAAGCGCCCTGAGATGAGAACGGTCTGAAATACACTTTAATAAACATGGACATTATAGATGCCTTGTGTAGATTATCTGCATATGTCTGTGAAGATTCTCATTCATTCAGGTCATACTTATCTTGAATATACCTTCAACCAAGTTCAGTTGCCCTTAATTTTAACCCATCTTGGATTATCTGCATGATTAGAAGAGAGTTTCAGTCATAAGAATTCAGCCTTTCAGTCTTTAAAAAAATTCAAGAATCATGCTGAAAAATGAAC